ACACACACACACACACACACACACACACACACACACACACACACACATGTAGTGTGAATGATCCACTGTGCAACTATTTAGCCAAACACCATTGTGGACAGACCCACTAAAACGTATGTGGAAAAACACTGCTCCGATCTTTATGATCCATGTCCTGTTTACTGCAGCATGGCAATAGCAGAGACAGAAATGTTAGAGTTAGAATATTCATATTACCATTTGAGGGAAATGAATGCTTAATATAATGTGTGATATGCACCAGTGGGACAAATGATGCACAAGAGAATTAAAGCAGGGCAACGTCTGTGTCCACTGTGGCTTGTTATGGTAATTATGGCATATTAACACTTTTAGTATTTCACTTTAAATCATAATATAAAACTGTATTCTGTTCTGTTGTTTGACATTTAAGTGAGCGCATTTTCAAAATAAATAAATAAATACAGGCAGGGTTTAGTCCCCACAGTGCTGCATGATTATGAAACCAGTGCAGTCATGTGATGTCTTCTCTCATCATCATCATGACAAGTTGGAAGTCTGACCTTCCGCCAGCACACAGTTTGCCATGCAGGGATTGGAAATTGCAATACAGCAGCAGTGCACTTGAAGCTACACTAGGGGCGGAGTTTGACCTCTCAAGTCTCAAAACATCACTAATCCGCGTCGGACATTCTGGCTCATGCACAGGCCATCACTGGCCCCGTTTGTACAGAAAGAAGGGACGATTTTTTTTAAACCGAAATAATACTGTCCTGCCCGGGTCTGTGTGGCTGCAAACAGCGGCTCGAGCTGCCGCTTGTGTTCGTGTCGGAGGGCTTGGGAATGCTGCAGTATGACAGATAGTGCGTTACATGCTTTCTAGCCAGTTTTATTTAGAGGATTCGGGGGGAAGTGTTGGGATTTGAGTGTTGACAGCTGGACCGCCCTGCGCTTTCATTGGAGGCAAGTATCCGCTTCCCTTTAAGGTGAGTCGGCACGAGTTGCGACATATTTATGCTACTGTCGCTGACCGAGCGCGCTGTTCCCACATACAGTTGACCGTGAGTCTGTTTCCTACTGTAGGAACGCGCACTCGTCGCAGCTTTAGGTTTTGTTTTTTTGAACCCGGGAAAGCTCAGGATGGCCAAAATACCGTTCGGTGAAGGATTTGCGGACTCTTTGTGAACAATATTGCAAAAACGTGCATTATGTCAGACCGTAGATAGGCCTTATACAGGCATCACATGTTGTTGGTGAGGCTGGTGCAGAAACACATGTGTGCACTGAGACCAAATGTTGGCTTTAAACAGGAATTTACATGATGAAAACGTTGGAATGTTTACGAAAAATGCTTTTTTGTTGTTGTTTATTTTACCCCAAAATGAATTAAATTCCTGCAATCAGTAATTTATTTAGCATATAGATTTCAGGTACATTTACAAATGAGACTAACAGAAATGTGCGTGACTTTCTCATCTAATCATGAATACATACAGATCTACCCCCCCTACAGTGTAAACATTACAAATGTAAACAAACCAGAGCAGCACCACATTAAGATGAAAACAAATCATAATTTAGTCGCTGTCTCATGTGGGACCTTGTGGCAGACAGTAACAGGCTTCAGTCGTTTTGATATTTTGGTGGTGGAGTGAACCTCCTATTTCAATGTATGTTAAAGATTAGCTTGAAGCTTCATGTAATTCAGTTTAAACTGTAACATGGGCCATTTTTGTTGATTATTAATTTCCTATAGCAGCTGATTATTGTAATAGCACATTATCCATAAGAAAATAAAGTGTTCCCGAGCAAAGCACCATTTTAGGCTTTATTTTGATATAGTTATAATACAATTATATGAAAATAAATTGCATTTAAATTAATAGTTTTTTTATCCCTTGTATTATTGTTCTGTTATTCTATTTCTTCTCCTTAATTTACCTCTCTATTTTTAAATAGAGAGGTAAATTAAGAAGAAGAAATAAATGGGTTTACTGGAACAGTCTGTCAGTGATGAAGCAATGGGATGGTCAAGTACAAAAAAAGCAGACCTAAAGGTATCTGAATGTCTATAAGTTATGAGATTTGTATTGTCTTTTCTCTATAAGCATGTGTAAATGTATTGAAATATTGCTATGTCCTTGCATCAGCCGGTGTGGTCACAATGCAGGTCGTGAAGTCTGCAGATTGTAGAGGTGGCACACATCTCAAAGCTCAGATCTTAGTGTTTCCGAACAAGTAAAGAAATGCAGGAAAGGACTTCTGCACTGCATGTTGAGCATACGTTGGCTATTCTGCACTGTGGACTTGTATTAGCATATTAATGGTTTCCCTCTCCTTTCCCACCTGTCCTCAGATATTGTTCAGTTGCCATTCAATGTCCAGTAGCACATGGCTGAGGCTGCTCTGTGGCTGATCCTGACAATGCCTTCGACTAACCGCTCCGGAGGGGTGTGGGGATGAAATGGATGGAGCCCATGGCCAGACCAGTGCACCAGCTCCCACCTCCCAGCATGTCCAGCCGCAGCAAGTCTCCACCCAACTCTGGAGAAGGTAAGATATGATTCATCTGGCAACCAACCGTCAGGCATTTGGAATAGTGATGTTATGAAAGCTGTGTCCAAGATGAACCACATTTGTCATCCAGGGTTGCCTATTGTGCCTCCATAGTGCCATGCAATAATAATCACATTTTGAATCATTAGTATACTAGTGTAGATATTGAATGAAGATGAATTTAACATGTTTGTATGTTTTGAGTGGGTTAACATCCACAATATATGATATAATTTCACATGAAGATTTTAAGGTTACCCATGAGGTGTAATTAGCTTTTTACTATCAACACTTGAAATGATGACGGCACTTAGAAATGACAAGGTAGTACAAAATGTAAACCTTACATTCATGATTCATTTTTACCTCTTTACTAAATACATAAAGACACAGACACACACTCTTTTAGGGAAACAAGAGCGTGACATGTAGAAGATACATGTCAATCAGAGGATTTATTTTTATCAGCTGCAGGCTCTAACTCCATGGCATGGGTAAAGATGTTCAAAAAACCAGGAGGAGGCCTGAAGAAATCCTACCAGCCTGGGAGCATGCTGTCTCTCGCGCTCACCAAAGGCCTGCTGAATGAACCCGGGCAAAATAGCTGCTTCCTAAACAGCGCTGTTCAGGTGAAGAATCATTTTCTACCAGCTCGAAAATACTGAAAAAATACTTCAATTAAATTGCTTCACTCCACTGAAATAATGACAAAACTGTTTCAGTGTTTGGCCGCATCATTTCATTCAAATATCAAAAATCTTGTTTTTAAGATCCTTCTCTTCAATTTGAGCTTCTGAAATCCTTGAAATGGGTTTCTGTGCATGTCTGTATTTTGATGTTTTTTTTTGCTGTCGTTAAACCGTCACAGGTGCTTTGGCAGCTGGACATCTTCAGAAGAAGTCTGAGGCAGCTCTCAGGTCACTTCTGTCTCGGTGATGCCTGCATCTTCTGTGCTTTGAAGGTTTGTTTCTGCACTATGGGCTAAACCGGGCATTATTAGTATGGTTGAATATTTCTAATTTCATCTGTCATTACTTTATGATAGTGGTGAAGAAAAAATAAATTTGCAATTGCGGTTCATTTTCATGACAGCCACTAATTATAGTTTTTCTTTCACAGAGCATCTTCAGCCAGTTTCAGCAGAGCAGAGAGCGCGTGCTCCCCTCCGACAGCCTGCGTAACGCCCTCGCTGAAACCTTTAAGGATGAGCAACGCTTCCAACTTGGCCTGATGGATGATGCTGCTGAGTGCTTTGTACGTTGATGCTGTGCCTTTGGCTTTTATTCAAAGTAGCATCCAGTGGAAGACCTTTCCACTGTAACTGTGTATTATGTTATGGTGCTTTCTTCTCTGTAACACTGAAGGTAGAAAGAAGTAGAGTGTGTTGGATTTAGTTGATCAAGTTTCCCTTCTGGCTGACATTTGTGTGTTTGATCTTTGTCTGTGTAGTGCCTATATCATCTAAAATCCACTTATTTCTATAGTTCAGTCTGACTTCACATCAGAATTTCATAATCTACATTTCATAATCTACAATACAATAGATGTTTTAAGTGTTTCACAAACATGTTCTGATCAGTTCATAGTTTGTAAGGAAACACTGCAATTGCATGTATTCAATATTTGGACTATATCTGCTTTCATTTCTTATAGGAGAACATCCTAGAGCGAATTCACTTACACATCGTTTCAGACACTGCGACGGACGCATGTTCATCCAAATCCTGCATCACCCATCAGAAGTTTGCAATGATGCTGTATGAGCAGGTAACTGTCATTTTATCTGCTAAGAAAACCCATAATAATTAGATGTATAGTATTCATGTGAAGTACATAGGGACAAAAACTAAGTATACTAATAACAATAAAGTAAGACTCCAACAGCTGCTCTAACTGCGTGTAAATGGTTATGACCGGTCACAGGAATATACACAGGTCTTTTACTGAAATGCAATCTGTAAAATAACACACAATTTTTTCTTTTGCAGTTTGTGTGTCGCAGCTGTGGTGCATCTTCAGACCCACACCCATTCACAGAATTCGTACATTATGTCTCAACCACAGCTTTATGGTGAGTGCTTGATTTACTGCCATGGCTTTAAAAAATAGGATACAAAATTCAGGCCAGAGTGCTAATCCTGATTTAAATGTCAAAGTCTTAAATAAGATTACAAAAAAAATTATTTGATTGCAATTTTAAGCATCTTAGATCAATTTCCTTCCTGTTCTCTAGCAGTCACACCTTAAAAGCAAGTGTTGATTATTATCAACAAATCTAAGGATTGTTTGGTCTTGTGGTTTTATGAGATATTTTCTCTTTTTTGCAAAATGTGCACAATTCCTCCTCAACTCACTTTCTGCATGCATTTTCACTTGAGTCCTGTCAAAGCAAGGATTAGATAAACAAGGCAAATCTGCACACTGCACAAAATAACTGTATGTTATAGATATTGTAAATTGTATGTATCCACCATAAATTCTACATTCACAATGATACAAATGTTCAGTTTTGATTGACACTGCCAGGGTGGTATTATTATAACTGTATTTTATATTATTGCTTATTATTGAGGTCGGAGTTTGCAGTGGTGTCCAACTGGATTGCATGATATTCAGATGGGTTTGTAATGTTTTCCTGTATTTCCAAACATAAGGGGGGAATAATATTAGAAATTCATTTTTATATAATGCAGTCCAGTTCATATATTATGACATTAACCTCTCTGACAATGTCGACAAAAACTAAACATTATAATCTTCCTTATGTACCTAATAAAGTCCCAATTTAAAACATTTCACATGGATTACAAGAAAACAGTTACTGTTTGTCACATATACACAGGAATATATCCACTGAGTGCTAACTATGATAGTTAAAAAATAAATAATAATTAGAAAATACATTAAAAAAGATAATATTTGGAACTAAATATTTATACAGTCTCTGTTTTTATGCTCAGCCAACAGGTTGATCGCATGTTGGGGAAGAACGAACGGCTCAGGTCAGACATGTTTGGAGAATTGCTGCAGGCAGCAAACAACACAGGTGACCAACGAAGCTGTCCGGTATGTGAATTATTGTCCTTGTTCATTTTCATTGTGATGTTTTTCTTAACAAATCAGACATCTTTAAGTCGTGGCTAAATACATTTCCCTGTTCGTCTGGCTGAATCAAACCATAATTAAAGTGAATGCTGATTTGTCAGCCATTAATGAATAATTTAGCCTTTCTGCTGAACAGTTAGTATATGTTTCTGTAACATGGACACAAAGATTATTCTTGCAGCTAAGTAGAGTACATTCTGTGCTTTCTGCTACAACTCTGCACTTGAAGCGGCCGGAAGGAGACGGTGCCAGACTAGTGTTAGGATATAAATAGCAGTAAGGGGGTATATATCCACTGTTCTCTCATCTGTATTTGCTACCGCTGTCTTCCTCTTCAGTGTGCATCAGTTGGGTGAAGCCGAGTGCTCTGTTCCCTTAACCCGTGATTCTTACAGAAAATCCGAGCCCCAGTACTGACTTAGTGATACTGACGTGCAGATAATACGGGCTGTCTGGCACTTTTCCCATCTCGCAATAGTCCTTATTATGACAATTTAAAGTGATAAGTTACAAGTTTTATTTTAGTGTGTGACAGAGAGAGATACAGAGACAAAGCCACAACCTATTACTTTGACATTTGGGGAAATTTGCTCATTTATTTATTTCTGAGATTTGAAAAACAAAGATCAATTTCACTCGCTGCACATTTTAGATCTTGTGTCTGGTTGACTGGTTTCTGTCTTGTTAGTTTTATTCCTGTATGTTTGATGTATTGTTCATTTTGAGTAATGCTCCTTGTTACATTGGTTCTTACTGGTTTGTCTTTTGATTTTATTCCCGTATCTTTGTTTTTATTGTTTGTTGTGTGTAAACATTATTGAAATAAGATTTTTGTATCGTGTTAGCTAACAAACTTATCAGCAACACATCCAAGAGTCTGCACGATTTTGTTCAGAATTACAAAACCTGGCAATTTTGACTTCATTGGGCCAAGCTGTTGTTTGTCAAGAAACAGAAATAAAAATGCTTTAATGTGCAATACATAACAGAGCATTAATATATCAGTAAACAACTATTTGTTATGTAAAGATATGGTGGAGTAATGTCTACTTGAGCCGAGAATGAAGTTGTTCTCCCTCTGTGAGTTGTTATCCGAGCTTCTCCTTGCTTTGTTGACAAAGTCGGGCCGGCCGTGCGTGCTTTTATTTCATGTTCGTGCATGCGAGCGTGCCCCACTGATTAGCTCATGCACTGCTTTCGTACAGCGGTTACAACTGATAACACCGTCCTGACCAACAGCGTCATTGCGGAAGCGTAGCACCAAGCTTCCGGTTCCCCCTTCAGGTAAACACGGTTAGCTCTGACCAGCACTTTTGCTTTAGTTTGCAGTGTTAGTTAGCACCGTTGGCTACGAGCCGCCGGCTCAAACGTCGCAATGTCGAGAGCCGTTGACAGGCAATAGAAATGCTTCCAAACTCGTATAAAGCACCTTTAAACCAGCTGCTCCTTGTCTAATTTTCTATTACTGTGCATCTTAATTTCACATATTCAGTCTCTTTAAAGAAACTGCTTGGAGAAAGTTCTTGCACTATTAAATTGCAAAGTAGTATTAGGACTTAATGTTTTTCTTGTTTATCAGTTGATAATATTATGGACCTTCATTTGGATTTCTTCATATTTTGCAGAGCAACTGCGGTCAAAGTATCAAGATCCGCCGTGTGCTCATGAACTGTCCAGAGATTGTCACTATTGGATTTGTATGGGATGCTGAGCAGTCTGACCTCACGGACGATGTCATTCGGTCACTTGGCCCACGTTTGAACCTGTGTGGGGTAAGAGCTGACGCAAACTTCATGAAATGACAAATCAGTTAGCTATAGACAGATATTTTATTTATTTCAATTTTTGTCTTTTTTTGCGCAAAAATTGTCATTTACTCGTACTAAATTACAATAATCACAGCTGTCAGCTATTGTATGATTTTTTTCTTCTTCCATAAACTAGAAATATGAAGGTATGTGTACTGTAATGTCTAATAAACAACAACACTTCAACATATCAAAAACAGATACATACATTTTTGTTACTAGGGGAACCTGGACGCAGCATAATATAAGGTCTCCCCCCCTTTCTCCCACTCCCAAGAACGACCATTGCTGCTGCGATATAGTCCATAATATTTATTATTTTACACCGTTTGTAGCAATTTGCGTCGGAGTGAGCCTGGCCCAAAACAATAAACAAAACAATCTTTATTAATCAACTACCTCACCTACTCCAAACTGAACAAAAGTAAAGACAGGCAGCTTACCTAACTCCCTAACCAAAAACAGGAGAAAACAAATGTAAACAAAAGAGCGGCTCACCCCTACCACTACTTGGACTGTTGTTAACGATAAGTGGTCGCCCCGATCTGTATCACAGCGATGCCCTTTGCTGTGCAGCACGGTCCGGTTGGGAACCGGCCTCCACAGGTTACCTCTTATATCAGGCCTCATCAGTCTCCGTCCAATCACCTGCAATTTAGCAGATACAAGAAAAACACAGACACAATGTACAGCACCACCCTAAGGCAGGGAGGCACACAGCATTTCTGATATATATATATATATATACATTATGATGCTCGAAGTCATAACAATTTCATTTTCATAGGATTTAGCATCTGCCAAAGAGAAACATGTGGAGATCAAACTTGTCTCAATTTGCTCTATTTCAGCTTTTCAACCGTGTCACGGATGAAAATGCCAAACAGAGTGAGCTTCATCTGGTGGGGATGATCTGTTTTTCGAGTAAACACTACTCAGCCTTTGCCTATCACACCAAATCTTCAAAATGGATGTTTTTCGATGATGCTACTGTAAAGGAGGTTAGGCTCTCTGTGCTATTAATCTGCTTTATCCCTGTTACTGTGTGTTACATGCTGTTATATCGCACTCTCCTTTTTTTTCTTTTTACCAAGATTGGATCCAAATGGAAAGATGTTGCCTCTAAATGTGTCAGGGGACATTACCAGCCGCTTCTTTTATTTTACACCAATCCTGAGGGATCTCCAGTGTCTAATGAAGATGCACCGAGACAAACCACCATGTGTCCTCGGTACAAAGCCCAAATGAATGGTGACGTGACAGGTAAGACAATTAAAACCTTGTCTACTTTGACCACCTTGGAATACATATTACTTCATATTACTTAAGGCCTTTACATCAGCATCGTATAGTTTATATACGCCAATCAATGCACTCTACAAGAAGTGTAGACCCAGACCATGGTATCACAAACCACTACCATAACAGAATTTAATAATGACTCGGTCCAGATTACCCCAAGATGATCAAGATGAAACTTTGTAAAGTACCATGGAATTATCCAAAAAGTGAAGTTTTTCTGGAGCATGCATGCAGTAAAGTATGTTTGAGAGTCTCACTCTAACACACATGATGGTGAGGTAACATTAGGCAGCTAATACGTATACTAGTCAGTCAGTCTTCAGTTTATGTGCCCAATAAAATGAATGTAACTGTACATATTTTCCCAAATGTTTTTCGCAAAGGTGCACATATGCCTTATATTCATATAAAAATTCTGAAGTTACTATGTTTATTATTGCTGTATACATAGGTGATATAGGTTATCTAACTAAACTTTCCACTGACATTAATACAATAATTTATTTTCTAAATAATTTGGAAAAAGAGGGTAGTTGCCGCCAGACAGCAGTGTATTTATAGTGTATTTAATATTGACGATTAATAACTGTAAATTTAAATTTGTCTGATAATTGAATTTCCATAAATCCAGTCTATTAGAGCGTCTGAACAATTTTTATGAATGTATCACTGAGCCAAATTCAACATCAAATCGACAGCACCCATGGGAATAATCATTTCACTCTGCAAATTACAGTTGTGGTTTGCATCAGGATTGAGAGAATGCTGTTCAACCGTAGGCAGAAAGATTGTCCGACCCAGTGTGCTGGCTTGAACTTGACATGAGGATGATGCCTCTGTTGCACGCAGATTACCACCCACGCCTCCCTCCCTAATCCCTGCTCCTGTGGCCAAGCGCACTCCTGTTCCTGCTCCACGGTTCTCACTCCTCCCCTAGACATTTCCGATGTTTGCCTCCATTAATTTATCTGCTTGGTTTTTCTGGCAATGGTGCCTTGCCCGTTTGGATGGATTGTTTTGCTTTAGTGTGGAGCCCAGACACTTTGACTGGCATGGGACTGGATTCTTGTTTTTATGAAAATAAGCGTAAGTGATTGTTTTTTTTTGTTTTAGAGTGAGAAATGGCTCAGTTAAAAAATATCTATTACATGTACTGAATGCATTTTTTGCTGTTTTGTCTTTTATTTAATCGGTTTGTATTGAGGTTAACTGATACTTTGCTGTTAATTTGCCCTGCTGTACATCTCATCCACTCTTTCAACTACAACTAACAAAGACAACTGCCCAGCAGTGTTACACTTTACTTGCATTACTAAGCTTGAGAGTCCCTGTATAACTTCAGGCAACATGATGGAGTGTGAACTGGTTAATTACTTGGCAGTTGTGGAAGGAGTACTCCATCTAAATCTAGTATCTTGTATATTTTCAGTGGAACTACCCAAATGTCAGCATTAGGCTTCATGAACAAATCTGGACCTCCATAATACTAAAGCTTACTCACTGCTGTTACTCACCGCTGCTGTAACATCCAGCAGCCATGCACATGCACACAGCATTACGCTCTCCTTTTTTTACCTCATGTTTCAGAGAGGATTTATTATACTCTTAATATTGTGTTTTACTGTGGATCCTCACAATAATATGGAGCATCTTCTCCAAGTGTTAGATGAATAAAAACCCAACGATTAAGAAGGAAACAATGCTAACATGCAGAAAGATGAAGTTAAGATGTAAACGTGAAAGACTGCTATTGGGTGAATGTGCTGACTTAGAAGCAGTTCACAGCCTCTCTTGTTTCTCATGGGGACTTGCCACAGAGCCAAAGAAACACACCACAGGGTTGGCAAATGTGGCAGCATTAATGTATTTTAACATTGCTAATGATGTACTCGCATCCGTTTTTTAGTGAGATTTTTTGGGTGGTTTTGTCTCTTGCCTCGTTTGTAGAAAAGATTCAAGGTGAGAGTGCCACAGTGCAGAAATTATAGCTACATTGAAATATGTAATGAATGAGCTGGCTGGGTAGCCCTTGTTACCTCAAACTAAATACCTCCAGTGTGAATTTGTCTGAGCCTTGCACCTAACAGGGCTATCACATTATGCTCTAACACCTATGGTAAGCCTCATATATCATGTTGTACCCGTTAAAATGTACTTACATAAATGGTTGCGTCACACCCTAATTGGTTGTTCATACCCCATGATGTTTTATGCAGGTAAAGGGAATTTAGGGCCAAATAGCAATTATGTTCTATTTGCTTCACTGATGTCTTCAGTCAGAATCAGAAAAGGTTACCCAAAAGAGCCCAAAATATATCAAAAGTTAAAAAACATCCGTGAGCAACCATTCATCTGCCATTTCAATATTTCTTTTCCTCAGTGAAACTTCCCCTTGGCAGTCCAAGCAAATTCCAGGAACCTTTCATGGAGAATTTGCAGAGGCCAAGTGAAACATCAAAAAAGGATCGAGGGCATCGGAAAACGGACCAATCACAACACAAAGGTAGAGCATTTCATCTGCATAATAGGAAACACTGATAATAGAGAGGCAAAAGGCTTACAGTGTAGAAAAATAACGTACATCAGAGCATGTGGATCGATAATACGTGTCCACTCTCTCTAGAAATGGCACATGCAAGATCTTCATCTCCTCCAGAGAATGGACCGAGGACTCCTGTAGACCAAAAATTAAAAACCTATCCACGCACTGAGAAGTCATCAAACCATTCAAGCAGAGGATCTCAGGAGCCACGTGGGCAGTCCTTCAGTACGCCTGGTGGTGGGCACAGCCGGAAGAACAACACCTCACCAAGTCGCCCTGATCAGGATAGCTGCCAGGAGCAATGGGAAAAAAGTGGAGGTGAAGGAAGCCGCAATAAATCGAAGTCCACTTGGAGACCCATTCGGGAGGTGTTGAATGTAGACACTGTTCTGAACGAACTGGAGCAGCGTCGTCAACAGCAACACGACAGCCCCCGGCACAGTAAGCCTTCATCACAGGAAAGACTGCACACTGAACAAAGCCGAGACCGCGAGCGGGAATACGTACGAACCAGAGAAGATAGGAAGCAGAAGTGTTTAATGACAATTTATGAGGACGAGCAGCGGCATGAGACTGAGAGCCACAGCTCTGTAGAGTCAGAGAGCAGGGCCAACCAGCAGAGGGGCAGCAGACTTAAGGGGGGGCCAAAGACATTGCTGCGAAGTGATACCTGGACCATCCAAAGGACAGAGTCCGGCTATGAGAGCAGCGATAGACTCAGCAGTGGCTCCACCAATCCTGACTCCCCTGGCGTCGATGGCTTTGTTGTTAAAGACCAGAGATCAACACCAGAGGCACAGCTGCAAAGGTAAGAAACATTGTTCAATGGACAGTATTTACAAGGACACATGGAGGTTACACATTCAAGAAGTGGAAACATTACAAGGTCAATTAATCACTTAGTTGTTACAGCTGTAAGTAAGGAAGTAAATAAATAAGTACTGGATTATTGAAGAACTACAAGTGTGGTATGTGAGTTTAAAGGATAGGCTCAAAATGTTTCAAGTCTGTCTTCAAATAATAGCCAGGTGCCCATATTAAGGTTGAAACTTGTTTTTTTGGTGTTGTCATCATTCCTCTTCCAGTTCAAGTTGACCATTAAAAGATTACTTCCTAATGCGCTTTCAATGGAAGTGATGGGAAAAACATGTTTTATGTACGAGTGCATTCTGAAGTTTATCTGAAGATAACAGTGGCGGGCCATGCATTTTATATCTGGGCCTTCTGTGCTGTCCTACTACACTTGAGCCATCTTCTAATAAGCTCATTATGACGCCACAGCTGTGGTTATTTGTTTCTAGGGGTGTAATAATACACGTATTCGTATTAAACCGTTCGGTACGAGGCTTACGAACCGAACAATACGTTTGAATCATACTAGTGCATTTGGAAAATGCAGAAGCTTAAATTGTGGGAAATATAATGTTTTCGGTGGACTGCGCTCACGTAACAGACAACGGGCTGTGTGACCTTTTGAACCCGGAAACAATAACAAAAAACAGCTGAGGCCCCGCACGTGTCTTCAGGGAGGCTGAGCTAAACTAGCTTAGCGGGGGAACAACAGCGGCACACAATCTACAAACTCTCCCCACAGCGTTTAGCTGTTCCCCACTGATTCAGACAGGGCTAAAGCAATCGCCACATAATCCCCCATTTCTCCAGACCATCATGCTTGCTTTGTAAAAAGAAAACAACAGCCCGAACGGATTCAATTGTCCGGACAATAACCCCGCGCATGACGGGATGCTTCGTAATTTACGGACAATGCATATAGTCTAAATCAATGTAATTAACACAATGACAAGAACCAGTCACATATATTTATATGACAACAAAGGAACAAATCAATCCAGCAATGCTGCAGCGCTAGAGCACGAGCCATTCATATTATTCATAAAAACGACACGATAGACAAATGAACACAGTAGTAACGCTACTGCAGATGTAAGAAAAACAAAAGCAGTTCACTTACCAAAGCTGCCTTCACTTAAAGACAAAGTCCATCCTCCTTTCTTTGTTAACAAAGTCAGTAACTCCTAAATCTATTTCTCCTCCTCCTTCAGCCATTGAGTGTTAAAAAAACAAAGCTAGGTAAAACAAAAAAAGAATCTACACCAAGCAAAACGCTAAAAATGTCATAACTTCTCTTACATATGTTTCAACCTGAACTCTTACTAAACACTAAGATCTGCCAGCTAGCTTTCTGTTTGACAAAAGTCACGCTGGCCCACTGACCAATCACGGCGCACGTTAATGCAGACATACTTAGGAGGCTTCTTGAGTGCCACTGGCACGTCAAAGAATACGCCCAACATGTCAAACTAAAGATCTGATTGGTTGAAGACTATGACAATCAACAATATCGTCCCCATTTACTTAAACTGCAAAGGCTCTCTAGCGGGCATCGGCCTGTCTCCTTACATAGAGCAATAGGGGCTGAATCTGATTGGATAAAAGCTCTCCTTAAAACAAGCTGTGCTGGAAGCAGCGCTGCAGGCTGGAAGCAGAGCAACAGAGGAAGACAGGAGCTGTGCAATGAGAAAATAAGCTAATGGGAAAAAAATTATAATACATGTAGTGTATTTGTGAAAGATGATTAAATTATAAAATAGCTATAACTTTGTGATTCTGTTTAGGCCAGCAGAGAAGGCTTAGCTGGCCCTGACGGCCCACCACTGGAAGATAATAATAGGCCTTCAGCAATCTGAGTTAAACAAATCAACTGGATATCTTCCAAACTTCCAAAAACCTCGAAACATCGCATACAAAAGTTTTTATGCTTGGCCAAGGTGGAAAATTTGGTGTATTGATCAAAGCAAAATTCGACGAAGCTTATTCAAGGTAATTCAATACCTAAATATATGAAATAACTCCATGGTTTTGTAAATTAAATACTATCAATAAATTACATAATGAAAAGGATACTTTTTCTCAAGAAAATCTGATAAATTTGAGTTAGTTTATATGCATGTGATTATCAATTTAAGACGTTATTGTGTATCACGATATCTCAATTTAAGTTTTCAGCACGATATGATTCCATTGAAAGACGATAATTTATATTGAATTATTGCCAGCCCTAATTATACACATGCAATACATTTCTGCATCCAACAAAGACTGGACATTCTGTCCCCCATCACTTGCATAGAAAGTACATTTGGAATGAATGTTTTAATGGCCAGTATGAACAGGAGGAATGATTAAAGGACGCGCAACCTGTTTCAGTGTTCATATGAGCACCTGACTTGTTTTAAGAATGACTTTAAAAAATGGGAACCTATCCTTTAACAGGATATTTACATGGAAATTAGAAACCCTTTAAATCATGGAAGAAAATCGTGTTGGTTTATATTATATATTAGTTTATATAAATATCTTTGTCATTAAGTAATTAGGCTCCACCATGGAAATAGTGACATTTTTATGTAATTAGCGATGAATATTGACGGACCACATGCTTTTCAACCATTTCTCGGTACACTTCCTTCAGTACATTCTTTCACTAGTTTGTTATTCTGAGAGTCGTGATGGGTGATAACACTACAGTGTCTGCTTCATCAGTCAGAAATACTTTGGATTTCCTTGGAAACTAAAACTGAACTGCACATGACATCGCCTTTCAAATACCTTGTGCTATATATAATCTGAATGTAGCAGGAAGAAAGCTGAAACTTCTCGATTGAAGTAAAGCTGAGTGAAGTTCATATAATCTACACAGACTGTTCAATCCTTCTCCAGAAAACATCACACCTTGCTGTTGTTTTACTTTAGTGGACAATAAACATCTGTAGGCAGAGAATTGGATTGAATGCTTCATGTAAATTGCAACATCTAAATAGAAATGTTTTCCTGAAATGTTCTGAACATTACTGGGGATATATACTGTATATGTATAAAAGTATCCACGGCATGATTTTCTTTAAATGAAGGATATTGTGATAATAAATTGATGATAAATGTTAAGATGTTGTTGGTTAGTGTTGCAGCTGTATATTCTTGTTAATGTGCTTCACAGCTCTGCATTTATTAGGAGAAAAAAACTGTAAGAGTAAGTGGTACCAGGAACTACTGTTTATATATTAGGGTTTGAAATGATCAAACTTTTAAAGGCTTACTGTCACCAAATACAAACTGAATCAGTATCAAACAATACATAATGCGTTATATAAGACATTTTAAGCAACAATAGTACAAATAGAATCAGATAAATCTTATTTGTAATAAAACTTATTTGGACATTAAAATCAAGTTGGACATGAGCAGACTCTGCCAGTGTTTTTCCCTTGGTGCTTTGCAATATTTGATGCCCATGACCATGAAAATTGGTTTGTTTGTTGCTTGCTGTGCTTATTACTGCTTTTTCAAAAAACGAATTGACATATCATGAAAACAGGATTGATTGAAAACTTGTGTAGAATAATTTTAGTGTTTTATTTTCAGTCAGCTGCACCAAAAGGGAGGCGATGCCAAATCAAGTATAATTTCCTCTCCTTCAAACAATGGTAAGTTCCAAGATGTTAAAGGCTTTCTTTTTGAGTCTTTAGACTGTAATAAGTTAATTAAATAAATGGTTTTGATAGTCACTTGACAACGAGTGAAATTAATAATCAACTCGTGGCAACAAATCCACATCAAGTCATCTTTAAAAAAAATATAATGGCAGTGTTTTAAAAAGCAGAGGAGGAAAAATAAGGACAGGATGAGACACCAACAATGAAAATAGCATGAGGTGAAAATCATAACATGATAAGAGAATAGAAGAACATGTCAGGGTAAGTTATGTCTTACATCTAATCTGCTATACTTCCAGAGAAAGATTTACAGGGAAATTAAGAATTATGAGTCTTACGGTATCAGATTTGTAAATACAAGATCTACCAGTTTTCTGTCATTGCAAAATACGTTTGGTATTTATGCACACCTTACATAACTTCATTTCAAAGAGAGGAAGAAAGGTTATTCATTTCTTTCTTTCTCTATGTTTCTGTTAGTCTAACAGATGAAGTGTGAGCTGGTAATGTGAGAGTAATTGAAGATTGATTTCTGAGCTCGCACTGGCTTCTTCACCTCTTCACCCAGTCAGCCCCGCACAGGCATTAATCTGATGATAATCCCACAAAGCTTATTCAGATAGCACAGCTGGACGTGGCTGCCGGCATTATCGTAAATATCTTTCTGTTTCATGCAGTAATTTGAGTGTGCTGCACATGATACTTTATCGAGGCTATATGTGCATCTATAGCCAGTGTTACCAGCAGACAGCTAACGCTTTTATCCTTGCATGGGCCTCTCCGTGGCAACAGCAAAGAAAAAAATGACACATCTATTTTTAAAGGGAAGGAATTCAGCACCATGCTGAGTGAGCGTGCTGGCTGCTTCATCCAGCTGTGAGAAAGTCGAGTGTGATTAATACTCTTCTGCTGCCACCTGGTGTCCAGAGAGAGCATCGGTTTCATCGTAGAATATGTAGATCATTTTGTCTCGACTTGGTCTCTACTTTTGATTCATTTTGTTTTATTGTAAGTGCGTGCAGATATGCCTTGTTAATATTTAGGAAAGAAGATTAGGAGAAAAATAAATCTGAATTATGTGATTAAAGTCTAAAATCTGCGATTTAGCAGATTATGAATTAATTCTCAGGATTCTGCATTCGATCTCTAAATTCTGAGAAAGCAAGTCATGAATCTCACTCATTGCACTCAAATCTCTTTTTGTTCCACTTGTCTCAAACGCCTTCTCATTTGTTGTATTGTTAAGATTTTTATTTTCTGACATAGTTTAGAAGATTTTCTCTGTTCTTAATTTGTTAAATTGAACTCTAAAGAAGAGGAAAGGTCAGAAGATAAAAATATATTACCTCCTGCACTAATTACAGTATGTAAATATTAATTACAGTATGTAATACTGTAATTAATATTACTTTAAAAGGAGGTGAGCAATACAACTTTATATTTCACTTTTAAATATAATTAATTTTTCTTCCTCGCTCACTATATTTTGATCACCTTTGTTTTTATCTGTCATAGGTAAACATCAACCCAAACCTCAGGGAAAGAACAATGACCAAGTTTCACATTCACATCTAAAGTGCAGTCCAAGTGCGAGGTAGTGCCCTTTATTAAAAACTATATATAACTTGTTCTAGTATGACACTATAAGGACTCATAAATTGGATTTCCATTCATATTAAATTATAATTTCCATCATTCTTTCTTGTAGACGGAAATCAAAGTACACTTGTAATACCTCCAGAAAAGCAGTATCCTCAGAGAGGGAGTCCACTGGTTCAGACAACAGGCCGAGTGAGCAGACCAACTGCAGAGGGCACACAGGAGAAAGTACAGCTCTGAGGCACATTACAAAAACCAGCAGCTCTGAATGGAACAGCTCCGATGATCTCGCTCTCTCTGAGCCCGAGGACAGAGAAAACACTGGCACCTCTGAATCCCAGTGTCCTCATATAACCCTGCCATACCACCCTCCCAGCAATGTGACTGCAGAACTGCTCCAACTGAACAATCAGCGTCAGCTCGGAACGACAGGGTCGCCTCACCTTCGACCGCCCCAGCGGATCTCTCCTCACCAGGGGGAAACGAGCCACGCGGTCTTTCGTCCGAGGATGCTTCAAGAACCCTTTCCATTGAGTCCTCGATTTTCGTCCACGTCCTATGTTAGTCCTCAGAGGAGGCCTGACATTTCAGGCCTCAGAACCTTCTCAGATGCAAGTTCCAAGTCGGGCTCTGACCCAGAAAGGAGTACCCCATCATCATGTGAAAGTGAGGAAAGACTGACTGGATGCAGAGTGGAACAAGCAGCGCCAGCTCAAGAGGTTTCTCTAACAACATACTTCACTGTCGATAACTGCATGACGGAAATGTACCGCCTCAAGTACCACAACCAGAGGCCTCTTGTCCTCTCAGCCACGGTGCCGCGGACAGTGGTTGTGACTGAGCGCAGAGATACCAGCCACACACTCCCCACTGACACATACTCACAAGATGTGCCAAAAGCCAGACCTGATACAAGTAAGCCTCTCTAATATGCAAACCTGAATGTAGGGCTGACCATTCTGAAAACATTCTGTATAAACTGAGAAAT